TGGTCAACAACGTCCACGCCTCCGGGCTGGACGACCACAATGTTTTCGGAACATCCCTTAGGGTGGGCAAGTGACAAGACCAAAGCCCTTCGTTTATGGAACACCTCGACCGAGAGGTGGGCGAAGTTTGGTCAGTTTTAGGTTTGAATTGAGTGACAAGTTCTATCAGTTTTAGGTTTAAATTTCCCTAATGTGCGGGCAACAAAACTAAAATCCTTCATAAGGAGCACACCTCAACACAATTGGGCGACGATGAGTGACGTGGTATTAACTAGGATTCATACATATTTAAGAGCAGCGAGGGATGATTATGGTTTATTGTATGGGCGGGGCGACAATTAATTGCATGTAAACGAAAACATTGAGAAAGCATAAGGAGCATATGTCAACATGTCTACGAGAAATCGTAATACAGAGCAGCTCAAAGAATGGAAAGCAAAAGCATTACACGACACAAGTAAGAAGAAACCAAGGTTTTCATTCCATGACGAGTACAAGATTACAAATCGCATTGAAATAGAAATATGAAAATACATCGTCGAGCACCTAAAACTATTTTGGAGGGGCGGTGGCAGATAGAGCAACGCCAGTCGACTGCGCAGCAGCGGTAGAGGACATAGTTGATGACACAGTAGCAGAAGCCTGCACCGCGGAAGTCGACTGGGCAGTTGTGGCCGACGACATAGCAGCAACAGTCGAGGAGGCGTCCGCAACTGACGAAGCAAAAGCAGCAAACCCCAACTGAGCTGCCGTGGTCGACTGGACGGCCGCGGAGGAGGCAGAAGCAGCGGTGGTCGAGTGCGAGGCGCCAACCGAAGAAAGGGAGGTGACGGTAGAATGAGCGATAGCCGAGGCTGATGGATGGGAGATGGACGAAGGAGCGTGGGTGGTCACAGGCTGTGGAGGAAGGAAGGCAACTGAAAGACGGATCAGGGGTGCCTCGCCTGGCCGGGGCAGGTCAAACGAACTCTTCAAAGAAGGATCACCCGCTAAGGTCTTCTCCAGAGAACTGACCCACCAAGGATGATCGGCGGGCAGAGTGGGGTCACCGGTGAAGCTAGAAGGAGCAGAGGGAATTGCTTCCCATGTTTTGTCCTGGTCAAGCTCGCCAGTGAACCCCATCTCCTTCAGCTGGCGCTCGACTTCCTCCATGCTGTAGGTATAGAAGTCCATCCCCATCTCAGCAGCCTCTTTGAGGAACGCCGTCAAGCACAGGTAGCCTTGGATCAGCTGCTCCCGATAAGCCTTGAGGAAGTTCTGACCAACTTGGGTCCTCCACAATGCTCGACGAGACTGCTCGATAGCAGTAATAGCAGCGGCCTCAACTTCCTTCTTTCGGCCAGCCCGCTCTACCTCGAGAGCCTTATCTTTGCCTTGCAACGCCTCCTTAAACCGCTGCTCATCTTTCTTTATCTGCTCAG